AGAGAGAGAGAGACAAGACTTGACAGAAAAAAAAATGATGTTTTTGAGAGAAACATCCCAGGAGTCCCTGATGCTCTTTCCATGAGCATTTATGTCCCTGCTCAAGTTAAATATTTGTTTCCCTTAAAATTTGCATACTGGTTTTCTAACCCAGGATGTGGTGATGGGATTAGAGGTGGGACTTTTTAGGAAGAGATTAGGTCATGAGGATAGTGTCCTCATAATGGGGACAGAACCCTTATAAAAAGGAAATCCCAGAGAGCTCCCTTAAATCTTGACCTTGAACTTCCAGCCTCCAGACTGTGAGAAATAAATCCCTGTTGTGTAAGCYACCCAGTCTGTGGTACTGTGATACAGTCGCCCCCATAGATTAGGAAAGTCCTGGCTGTAAATTTTCTAGCTTGGGCTTTGGGCGGATAATTTCCTGATTCACATAAAACCAGACTCAAGTGCAAAGTCTTTATTCCATTGGCATTTTGGCTTCAGTTTTTTTTTTTTTTCTTTTGGAAGATTTTATGTTTTGATTGAGGGAAGGATGTCATTTCCCACTGTGTACCAGAAGGGATGTGCTGGCAGTAAATGTGAGACAAAARCAAGGCAACCAAAAGCGATGGCCTCCACTCCCCACCTTTGTGATTCTTACATTTTGGCTCCAGTTTGGRGAAATCACAGGGACCAACAGATAAACCCCACCCTCACAGAGATCCTGTTATCCAAACATTGATTAAAAGCATGCTATTCAACAAGAAGGCATCACAGCAAGAGACTAGAACTCTGGCTTCTAAATGCTAACTTTTGACCCAAAAGGTAAACATCAAGGTGACTGTGAGTATAACAATAAGAGCTCCATATGCAAAAAGAGAGGGCAGAGAAGCCAGATGGACTGGTGTACACCTGTGATCCCAGCAACTCAGGAGGTTGAGACTGGAGGACTGCAAGTTCAAGACCAGCCTCAGCAACTTAGCAAGGCCCTAAGTAATTTAGTGAAACTCTGTCTCAAAATAAAAAATAAAATGGTTGGGGAGGTGGCTCCATGGTAGAGTACCCCTGGGTTCAATCTCTAGTACAATAAATAAAGAGATAACAAAATAGTCAATGAGTAGATTGATAATTAACTGGAAAAAAAAAGAGTGAGGGCAGAGAGCCTTTTAAAAATAATTTTTAGCCATAGATGGATACAATACCTTTATTTTATTTCTATTTGGGGCTGAGGATCAAACCCAGTGCCTCCCACATTCTAGGCAAATGCTGTACCACTGAGCCAGCCCCAGCCCCAGAGAGCATTTTAATGGTCCTCTAGCACGAAGAAAAGTCTTCTGATCTCCTCATCTATTACTTTATTTAATTTTCTCAGTAGTCCTATGAGGAAGGTAAGGGTAGGTAAGGTAACTGCCTCCATCTTACAGACAAACAGAGGCAAAGAGAGGTTAAGTGTACCACCCCAGGCTTCCTGGCTAGTTGTGTGCCAACGCTTTCTGCCCAATCTGACCCAACAGAGTTGAATTTCCAAATCTTCAAAATAGGTACAAATCTAGCTGGGGGTCCTTCAGCAGATGAATCGCTAGGAAAAGAAACAGGAGACAGAGATGTAGGGGAGATATGTAGAGTAGGAGACTTAGGACCAATCACTTGGTAAAAGGTATAAGMGTTCTTTCTGGGGTGATTAAAATGTTCTAAAATTAGATCATGCTGATGATTTCACAACTCTGTAAATACACTAAAGAGCACTGGTTCATACTGTTTAAATAGGTGAATTTTACAGTATGTGAGTTGTGTCTCGTTTTAAAACGAAGCTGTTTTTAAAAAGCATACCAATTATTTATAAATTTTTTTAGTTGTTGATGGACCTTTATTCATTTATTTATCTGCAGTGCTGATTATTGAACCCAATGCCTCACATGCTAAGCAAGTGCTCTACCACTGAGCCACAAGCCCAACCCAAAAGCATTCCAGTTTTTTGAAAATGGGGGCAAGACTAAGTTTTATGGCTACAGACATATATTTGGGTGATAAAACTCTACAGAAAAGTACAGAAGTGATTAGTGGGAAAGTCAGGACTGCTCTCAGATGTGTGGGGGGGTTGTGATTGAAATGGGGCACATGACAAAGCAGCTTCTTCTCTTTTTTGGGGTGGGGGATATCAGGGATTAACCCAGRGATATTTAACCACTAAGCTACATCACCAACCCCCCCACACTTTTTTTTTTTTTTTAAAAAAAAGACAGGGTCTTGGGCTGGGGATGTGGCTCAAGCGGTAGCGCGCTCACCTGGCATGCGTGCGGCCCAGGTTTGATCCTCAGCACCACATACAAATAAAGATGTTGTGTCCGCCAAAAATTGAAAAAATAAATATTAAAAAAAAAAGACAGGGTCTTGCCAAGTTGCTTAGGGCCTTGCTAAATTGTTGAGGCTGTCTTTGAACTTGTGATACCCCTGCTTCAGCCTCCTGAGTTGCTGGGATTACACGTATGTGTCACCACACTCAGCTACATGACAGAGCTTCTGTGGTGGGCAGCAGGTTTCATTTCTTGACCTGAATAGTAGTTTACAGGATGTTTAAGATCCACATGTGTTTTGGGTAGTTTTCTGTATCTGTATTGTTATATAATAAAATTTTTAAAAATAGGGGAATTTGCCAGGTATGGTCGTGTATGTCTAAAATCTCAGAGACTCAGGAGGATGATGTAGGCAGATCATGTGAGGCCAGCCTGAGCAATTTAGTGAGGCCCTATCTCAAATTTTTAAAAAATGGCTGGGAATGTAGCTCAGCAATAGAGTATCCCTGGGTTCAGTCCCTATCACTGAAAAATATAAATAAATACATAAATACATAAATAAGGGCTGGGGATGTGGCTCAAGCGGTAGCGCGCTCGCCTGGCATGCGTGCGGCCCGGGTTCGATCCTCAGCACCACATACCAACAAAGATGTTGTGTCCGCCGAGAACTAAAAAATAAATATTAAAAAAATTCTCTCTCTGTCTCTCTCCCCTCTCTCACTCTCTCTTAAAAAAAAAAAAAAAAGCTTCTTTAAAAAAAATAAAAATAAAAATAAAAAAAATAAATACATAAATAAATAAAGTAGGGAAAATCAAGTAAGAAATGACATATAAGTCAGACAGACTATAAGGTGCCCCCCATGCACCCCACATTCTGGAGTTCTTACCCTTGTTTCATGCCCTCCCCTTAAGTGTGGGTGTGATCTATGACTTGCTTCTATCCAACAGAATAAGGCAAAGGTAATAGGATATGTGCCATTATATGTTTATGTAATTATTGTGTAAGATTTCACATCCATCTTTTTTAATATAAATTAATACTGTGCATAGGAAGCCTTCTTTTTTAAAAAATATAATTTTATTTATTTATTTACTTATATGTGGTCCTGAGGATCAAACCCAGTGCGTCACATGCACTAGGGAGTGCTCTACCACTGAGCCACAACCCCAGCCCTTCATATCCATCTTGCCAAGAGACTTTCTCTTCTTTATTGACTGGGAGAAGGCAAGCAACTCTGTTGCAAAAACTCAGGGGGTAAGGAACTGAGGTTGGTCTCCAGTCAAAGGCCACCAAGAAATGGCAGCCTTCAATTCAACAACAAGAAACTGAATGCTGCCCACCACATGAGTTCTGGAGCAGATCCTTTCCTGGTTGAGCCTCCTGTGACACTGTGGCCCCAGCTGACATGTCAACTGCAATTTGAGAGACTCAGAGGCAGAAGCCTCAGCTAAGCTGGACGCTGACTCCTGACCCACAGAAACAGTGAGATAATAAATGTAAATTGTTTTAAACCACTAAATCCATCGTAATATCATTACACAGCAACTGATAAGTAATGTATGTCCCTTAGGTTCTGGGGTCCCTGTGGGCACCCTTGCCTTCAGTGAATCATTAACAGTTACAATTTACTGTAGTGAAAGGCCACAGAATAAAATCAGTAATAGAAAAAGGCACACAGAGCAAGAGAATTCCCAATCATCCTCTCCCAGTGGGGTCCTAAGGACATTGCTTAATTTTCCCAGCAATGATGTGTGGCAATGTGGCTGGAGTACTGCCAATCRGGGATGGTCCCCCAAGCCGCAGTATTCAACGCTTTTATTGGGGATCTGTCACATAGGCATGCCTCACTGCCCACATGGCTGACTTAATCTCTAGCCCGTGCAGAGGTCAAGGTGATACTGCATGGCCCAAAGCCCCCACTTAAACCAAGCCACTCATGCCAGGCAAGATATTTGAAGGGCTTATAGGTCCCCTCTCATGAGTCTGTCAGAGGCCAGTCCTTTCTTTGAAATGTGCAGGGTTCAAGAACTTCAAGCCTACTTTGTTAATCCCGAACCACACAAAAGGATGAACTTCAAAAGTGGGATTCTTAARTTGAGTTGCCACCTGCTTGAAGGCAGAGAGAGAGGCCAGGAGACCACTGTGTTTTAACCCCTGAGGAAGCTTTATACTTGTACTTGATTTATGATCAGGGAGTTTCCAGGAGTTAGGCCGTAGAGCCAGAAGGCAGGGTGCAGAGGAGAGGAGGCCGCCATCTCACACTCATACAGAAGCTTCTCCTGACTGGMCACTGAATAGAAGGCAAGCTTCCTCTCCTCCAGGTCCAGCCAGATGCCCACCACCCCAGGTCTGTCTGAGCCAAGGACAGTTTCTTTGACCATGGTCCACGCAGACAACTGGCCAGTTCCCTTCCACTCTATGCACCAAGAGTCTGCAGTCCTTCCCAGCATCCGGTCTCGGCTCATGCCCCAAGAGGCGACTCCAACTGCCCAGTTATTGCAGCACTTCGTGTCCACTTCCCAGTAATGCYGCCCAGAAGACAGGGCCTGGGAACATAAGACCTGGCTGGTTGAAAACCTCTCTTGACTCCAAGGATAGGGCTGCCGGAATTGAGACACAGTCACTGTCCGGTGATCCTCAGATACCTTCAGGATACAGGAGAGGCTTCCCAAGTCAAAGGTTGGACTGAYGATCCCTGAGGAGAAAAGTATACCACCACAAGATCAGCTGGCTTTGGATCATCCAGGCTAACATGTCATCTAGTAGAAAAAGCAACATTGTAGTTTTTTTTTTTTTTTTTGTGTGTGTGTGTGTGTGTGGTGCTGAGAATTGAACCCAGGGCCTTGTGCATGTAAGGCAAGCACTCTACCA